AACATGCATGGTTACATTGCCACACTTTGGTGCTTTCCAATTCACATAGAATCATCAAAATTGGTTGAGTTTTGAGCAAGAAATGAGATGAAAGATAAAGTGCAAATTTTTGAATTTCAGAGTTTTCCTCATATTTTGTAAATAGCAATAAACAAATAAGGTGCTGATTTTAGTAAACACAAAAGGTATATGAGCTTTCAGAGCAATGACAATGGCCATTTTACACACACATATATCCATATTATCTTTGCACTTCTGCATCCTTAGGAGAACAAAATCATTCAAACATTTAATTTTCTCCACCCAATGTGTAGAGGGTGCACAGCAAAAAGACTCAATTTCCTCACAGAGCTCCCTATCAAGTTTGCTGATGCATTTGCTGATGTTGGATTTCCTTCTGGAGCAAGGATTCCAGAAACATGATGGAATTAAATCAGAAATCCTAATGCATGGGAAGGAAGTATTCAACCTAGCCTATGGAAGCCCTAGTGATTGAAACCAGTCCATTTCCACTCCCATTCCAAATAGACCTGAATTCTTGCTCCCCAATTTAAAACTGGCATCACCCATTCTCAATCACAAAAATGCCAAGCCTGATTTTGAATTTACCCCACATACACAAGTAGGATAGGAGTATCCCCAGCATTTTCTGCATTGCTCAAAGAAAAAATGTGGAGTGATTATAATCAGGGATATCTGAAAGGGGTAAAATATATTAATGTGATCCTAAACAACCATCTAACCCGTTAGAATCTGACCTGAACAAAACTTGGGGGACAACCCAGGACTGCCTCAATTTAATCCAAGATGAAATGGATCTCCAAGTGAACCTGTGCCAATTAGGAAGTCTATTTAATCCTTATGAAATCATGCCTATTGTCATATCCATCCCCGGCCATCAACTTCCGATCCCTCTGATCCCTCCGGTCTACCTCCGCTCCTTCTTCACTAACCTCGGAGCCCCCATATTCCGCAATCCCCTCGGTACCCCTCGATGGTCACCACCCCCTCCTTTCAATTTATTACCTACACCTCCCTAAGTATGGAGCCCCGAAGGCTTCCAGACAGCTCCGACGTCCGCTAGCGCACTCCCACCTCTGCTGGGCAATACACTCCTGCAGAGCCCACCTTCAGGCCTATCCCTCCTTTCCGTTTCTGGGTTATCACCTGCCTTTCCGTTAACCCCATAACCCAACTTGTCAGTAATATTCAATCAGCTAATGTTTAACCCCATTAGCTCCGCTCCACTCGGCTCCACCATTTGCGGACCCACCCTCCCTGTAACTATATATACTCAACTTGTACATAGTGTCAGGATCCGGACCCCGGCTGGGAGTGGCTGGAGGGTGAGGCCGGGTGTGGATGCTGGGGTACTCTCCCCAGGTGCTAACTCCTCGAAGTCGCTGAGGGGACTGGCCTCAGCCTTCACAGGGAATGAGCTGAGAAGAAGGGTAAGCTTCTCAGCCCCCTGTGAGGCCAACACAAAAGGACCCTAGGAACTATACAGTTCCCGCTTGCTGCCGACTTTCCATAACGGGTGTGACCCGTGGGAAAGTTCTGGGCAAGCTGCTCACCCAGAATGTTCCCACGGTTGTGGCTGTACATTTCTGGGTGAGTCGCTTGCCCAGAACGTTCCCACGGGTTCGCATGCGCACATCATTATGTGAAACAGTGGGGGGAAGGATAAGGGGAATGGGGAAATGTGAAGAGGGGGTGGTTAGGGAAAGGGTGAGGGTGTCTGAGGGTGAGTGGGGTCAAGGGCTGTGCCCTGACACATAGGTTACACTTCAGTAATAAAAATCGACTAGAGTTTACTCCCTTCAGTTCTGGTTGCCAGTTAGTAAGTTAGGGCACGGATGTGTTACTTGGCACAGCGCTCCTGGCATAAGTCGCTGAGGCCAAAGCCCTCCACCACAGAGACATTCCCTCGTCTCAACCCGATCTCTGACACCTATGATCAAAGATCTTGAGGAGGTAATGGAATTGGTCTTTGGAAGAATTCTCTTGGAAGCTGCAATTTGCTCCAAGTATCATGTAGTCAAGTCAATTTGTGAAATTCTTGGTGAGCACTCCAGGAACATCTATATCATGCAACAATGCATCTGACAATTCCATGGAAAAATAACCCACATTCTATTGTGAATTTCAAGACTGAACCTATGGAAGTGTTACAGGAATGGGTTCCGGGGAACCCAACCTGAGCCATTCTGCTCACAGATGGAGGTGGCTGTGTAGCCATTGAGGGGAGAGCAGGAGGAGATCCAAGGCCAGGTGGGCTAACAGTAACTTGGCACTCCGAGGAGCATACTGGCAGCAGGTGTGGTGGTCTGCTAACGGTGACTTGGCACTCCGAGGAGCATACTGGCAGTGGGTATAGTGGGGACTCCTTGAGGGAGCCACCTAACAGTTGGCTAGCGGTGACTTGGCGCTCATGTGAGTGTACCGGTAGCATGGGTAGTTGGCACTCCTTGAGGGAGTAGCCCAGTGGTTGACTATCAGTTACTTGGCACTCAGGGGAGCGTACCGGTAGCAGGATTTGTTGGGACAGGCAGGTTGGTTGACCAGTGCATGGTAGTGAGTGACCATGGGAATTTGGGCCCACGGGTACATGGCCAGGCATCCTGGGGCTGCCTGAGTCACCTCTCCCTCCCAAGAAGGGAGGAAGGGTTGTAGGACCCAGTAGGGTACTACAGGAAGGGTAGGAATGGGAGCTCAACCACCCAGTGGGGGGGTGGGAGCAGGGAGGGTGAGGTCCGGTGTCTGAGCACTCACTGGGCTGTTGAGGTTTTCTCACAGATTGTAAGAATATTGATGTAGACATCGATATGGACCAAGTCAGATGTTACAGAGAAGGCTTACAGTGGTGGCACAATGGTGTGGCAGTTACAATCGTGGTACAAGGTTTTGTGGGTTATGTATTAGATAAGGAAAGACATTTTCCAGCATCTGCCTTACACATCATATGACTTCTAACTATCTAATATAAAAGTCACAATGGTCAAGGGAAGTCCCTTGAAACTCAACAAATTCCCCAGCCAGCACCAAAACCCAGTGGGAAAGCTTGGCATGGGGTTTGACAATGAAATAAAGGTGCAGGGACCAAAGGTTTGATTGTTCATAGTCATGGACCATAAGATTCTAGGTCCATTCCTATAACAGGAAGACTCTGCAGCCCAATATGAATAGTGTCAGGGCACACCCACCCACCCAGCTCCACCCAGACCCAGCTCTACCTGATGCTGTGCTCCCCTTCCCCTCTTTCCCCCTTTCTCCCTCCTTCCTTTTCTTTTTTCCTTTCTTTACTTTACTTTTGTTCTCTCTCTCTCTATCACATGGACTTTCCTTGTATCAATGTACCCTTCACCTGCAGCCTGCATGCACGACATGCCTGGGGCTGGGTGTACCCATCACATGCCCACAGCAGATGCCCTCAGGATCTCCCATGGAGACACCTGGATGGCTGTGGCTGTGTGTGAGGGTGACATGGCACTTCCCACATGACTGTTAGAATGGGGCGAGAGTGGATGATTCCAGAGTGGAACCGGAGACTTAGCAAGGAGGGACCTTGGCCTCAGCAACTCAAGGGGAGCGCTGTGCCATTGCTGTTTGTCCTGTTGTTTCAGACATAGTGAGGAAGTCTCTAGGGGGCATTTCTAGTCGATTTTAGACTGAGGGTCTAATCAAGTATGTACAAATGCCTACATATAATGGGGAGATGAAAGCACAAGGAAACAAGGGTGATCCAAAATGGAACAAAGGTGTCTGAACAGAGACAAAGGGAGTTATGGAAGTGGAGTGGTACCAAGGGTGAAGGGTTAGACTCTATGGTGCATCTGAGAGGTAAGGAGGGTGAAGCCCAGAGGGGCAGGAGGATGAGGTGAAGTGGGGTTGATGACTAACTGGCTTAAAGAAGCAGTAGTCCAAATAGGGATGAGGGAGAAGTGTGAAAGATACAGTACAAGCAGCGAGAGTGCTGAGAATGGTCTGTGAAGCTCAGAGGTAGTGGAGCTTATGGGGGTTGCAGAGGCAGAGTTGGAAGTCCAAGGAATATTGGCAATGGTGTTTATGTAGAGCAAGGTCACCAATGCAAAGGACTTAAGCTGAGGTGGGGTCAAAGTCCGAGGTTGGGACCATGACAGAGTCTCGGAGTGTCCAACCTTTTAAGGTGCAGAGAATAAGAGTGAAAGTGATGAGGTATGCTATGATAATGGAAAATGGGAGAAATTGGTCACTGCATTGTACTTGTAATCAAGAAGAACACAGACACTCCAATCACATGTTTCCAACCTTTTAAGGTGCAGAGAGTAAGAATGAAGGTGACAAGGTACCCTACAATAATGGCAAATGAGGGAAATTGGTCGCTGTGTTGTACTTGTAATCAAGAAGAACACAGACATTCCAATCACATGTTTCCAACCTTTAAGGTGTAGAATGAGAGTGAAGGTGACAAGGTACGCTATGATAATGGCAACAGGGGAAATTGGTCGCTGCATTGTACTTGTAATCAAGAAGAACACAGCCACTCCAACTGCACATTTCCAACCTTTAAGGTGTAGAATGAGAGTGAATGCGATGAGGTATGCTACGATAAAGGCAAATGAGGGAAATTGGTCACTGCATTGTACTTGTAATCAAGAAAAACACAGACACTCCAATTGCATGTCTCCAACCTTTAAGGTAGAAAAAATAATGAGGTACAAGGTGCTACATGGGGGCAGACATGATGGGATTGGTTGCTGTACTATCCTTGGGTCTCCAAAGAGTACAAACACTCCAATTGCATGTCTCAGAGAGATATGAGCATTGGCCAGCTACAAGTCTGTGGGCAAAGAGGAAATGGGATATACCCACAACAATTGTACAGTTTATTATTATCGGATACACCTGCAACAATGGTACAAGTACATTACCTAAGTAGTTCAAGTATAGTTAATTATTGATAAAATTAGAGAAAAATTAGTCCATGATGCAAATGTGTAATATAGTACAAAAGGATCACATCAGATAAGATGTGTCCATGGCTCGGCAACATGCTTCATGTAGCAAGGCTGATCAAGATCCAGTTCAAGCATGATTTGCCAGTTGCTACCCTTAGGGTGGTATTGAAGCATCTCAGCACTCAAGTGGGTGATAGATGGTGTTTCGCCATTCCTCATCATCTCATCATGAGCCCAACATGCAACATGAAGAATCATGAAATCCATAGGGCCCGACGTTGGCCACATAGGCACTGAGAATTTTGACAAGCCCCAAGGCTGGAAGAATGGGCACTAACAAGAACCTTGAAATGATGGAGTTCAACATCAAAAGGTTCTTGATGTACCATAGACTGCAGCCAAGTGGCTGTAAACATGATACCCTCCATAGGACAAATGTGATCCCTTTGATTGGGGGGAGGGTGCTGTTGTGGTGAGTGGGGAACAAGAGGAGGATATTTCTTGTACTGGAGGAATGAGTGAAGGTGATTGGTTTTGTTAGCCTTCAGAAGTGCAATGTCCATGAGAGCCATGATATCAATGTGATCACACATAAATGTCACATCTACATATGGCAAATCTAGCATGAAGTGGTGATTGTTGAGTGAGCTGACATAGATGTTGGAGGAACAGGATTTCCCCTCTGAATGCAACTTCTCAGCCATTTTATCATGATTATCCATGCACTTGAAGAGCATCTCCATAGATGGTGGCTCATGCTGCCCACCCTTCCTTGAACAATGTGTTGGATAAACTCCTTGGGCATGGCACTTTTCCAACCAGGCCGGCTCTGCATCCTGTACATCAACTACAGTGAGGTGATACCAGTGGCCAAGAGTGTCAGGGCCGCGTCCGGGGTCGAGGCGGTCCAGGCGTAGCGTCCGGTGCTGAGGACCTCACGGGGGGTGGATCGGGCATGCATACTGGCAGCCCCGATGTGGGACGGCGATCCCTGGCCACTTAGACTGAAGTGGGAATGTTGAGAAGAAGGTTACTTCTTTGGTTCCCACCCCAGGTGTGTTTATATACATGCGGCTTGGGTCACATGAAGTCCGCCATGTCACCCTGCATACAGCTGCAGTCACCCAGGTGTCCCTGTGGGGGATCCCGAGGGTGTATGCTGCACACATGTGCACTAGGTTGCACCCTAGAGCTGTCCGGGGTCATCTGGGGCTAGGCATGTCGTGTGCATGTCGCGGGCGGGTCAATAATACATGGATATAAAGGAAAGGTTGTCTGTGTGAAATAGAAATAGAAATAGGAATAGAAATAGAAGTGGAGGAGGGATAGAGGGGAGAGGGATGTGAGGGAAGGGTGCAGGGTGAGAGAAGGGGTACCGGGTGAGGTGGGCCTGGGTGGAGGCGGGTCGGGCAGGTGTGCCCTGACAGATAGCCATGGGCTGGCTTGATGATCCAGGGTGTTGGGCGAACAGGTATGAACTCAAGCTGCTTAAAAACAATGTCCCTTGACCACTTAGATGGAAGTGATGCAGACTGAACTGCCATCTTATGACTGTTAACATCCGAATCTGACCAGCCACCTGGCACAAAATCTTGCTGAAGACTGGCCCCACTCCCAACGACTTGAACCCCAAAGACAGGAACACTGTGATGGGATAGCCTTGCCATTGTTGAACCCAGCAATGGGCAGTCATCTGGGAAAGGGAGCTCAAACACAGCACCCACCAGCTCATCATCCACACCCAAAAAATAATTACCATCATGACCACGAAGAAGTTGCTCAATGTGACAATGACAGTACCATTGACCAACACCACCCAATTTGTAAGCAAACATAAATTCTTGATCCACATTGTCGATCAGATCCTCAAGATTTCTCCCCTGACATCTTAGCTTGTCCTTCCATCCAAAAGAAGCTTCAGTTAACCCATCTCAAGTTTCAAGGCATCGGCACACATTGTTTGACTAAGAGAAAATTGCTCTGGATCACATCCCACCACAAGAAGAGTTCAAATTGAGACTGCACAAACGTCTCAACATGGTGAATATACTGAGTTCAAAGATGCTTTCCCCCATGACAGTCCTCAATGACTGAGGAATCAGGAAGAGGGGTTGAGGGAAGTGCAACAAATAGAATGGATGATACAGTGTGTTAGAACGGGGCTGATACAGACGACTCCGGAGTGGAATCGGAGACTTAGCGTGGAGGGACCTTGGCCTCAGCGACTCAAGCGGAGCGCTGTGCCATTGCTGTTTGTCCATTTGGTCCTTAATTTCACAGTAGGTGAGCAGGAAGTCTCTAGGGGGCATTTCAGGTCGATTTCGGACTGAACCAAAACGAGTATGTACAAGCGCTGATATATATAATGGAAGGGGCAAAAGCACAAGGAAACAAAGGGGAACTGAATCGGAACGAAGACGTCTGAACGGGGACAAAGGGAAGAAGGAGCGGAGCGGTACTGAAGGTCATAAGGCAGGACCTGTGATACGTCTGAAAGGAGGTAGGGAGGGCAGGCCCAGAGGGGCAGGAGGATGAGGAGAAGTGGGGATGATGACTAACTGGCTAGAATGGGAAGAAGCAGTAGTCCAAATAGGGATGAGGGGTAAACGCGAGAGATACATTACAGGCGGCGAAAGTGCTGAAGGCGATCCGCGAAGCTTGGGGGTTGCAGAGCTTACGGAGGTTACGGAGGCGGGGTTGAAAGTCCAAGGGATATTGGCAATGGTGTTTACGTAGTATGAGGTCACCAATGCAATGGACTAAGACCGAGGTGGAGTCAAAGTCCGAGGTCAGGACTATGACGGAGGCTCGGAGCGAAGGTACGATCGGTGTCCGAGTAGGAAGTACGGGACAGTGGCGGAAGGCCGTAACTTGGTGGAAGGGTGGCGGAGGAGTACCAGAAGGAGGAGAGAGGGGAAAGGTAAGGGGGAAGGAGTGGCAGAGAGGAGGGTTGTCAGGTCCAAAGGCGAGTATCGGAGCGGACGGGGGAAGCGTAGGGGGATGACGGGAGGGTGGAGGTGTTGCGGAGGGGAGTGGAGTAGGAGGAGGAGGAGTAGTAGGAGGGTGGCGAGAGGGGCAGTGTTCGGTCCGAGGTGAGTATCGGAGTGGAAGCGGTAGGTTATGACTCCGGAGGTGAAGAGGGTGGAGGTCCGGAAGTCAGGTCGTGTCAGGGACCGACCCAGGGTCGAGAGCGCCCAGGTGTATCGCCCGAGGCTGAGGGTCTGGTAGGTATGACACGGGCGTGTGTAACAGCGGGCCCGAAACAGACAAGGGTCCCTGGCCACTAAGACTAAAGTGGGAAATGTGTTATTGTTATTATCAGGGGAAGTGTAAGCTACTTGCCTAAAGTGGGAAATGTGAGAAGAAGGTTGCTTCTCAGTTCCCACTTAGGCTGTGTTTATATACATGTGGTTGAAGGCCACATGGGAAGTGCCACGTCACCCAAGCACACAGCCACCTCCGTCTGGGTACCTCCATAAGAGGTCCTAGGAGCGTCCGGTATGTGGGGGGTCATCCGGTGTGTCCGGGTTCGGGCGCGTTACACTGCAGCCGGGTCAATGGTACATGTACATTGATACAAAGGAAGTCGTCCGTGTGATAAGAAAGGAATAAAGAGGTGAGAGAATAGAAAAGAAGGGGAAGAAGAAAGGGAAGGGAGAAAAGGGGAAGAGGGGGGAGGTCGGGAGGAGCGGATGGTGGGGCACCAGGTTAGGTGGGGCCGGGTCAGGCGGGTGTGCCCTGACAGGTCGGGGTCAGGTATGCACGGATATGACAGATAAGGGGTGAAGGGGTAAACAGGTTCCCTGATGGGATTTCCAAGGAAACTGAAGCTTCTCAGAGTGTTTGCATAACACAGTATCCATGAGTGGATGACAAAGTCCTTGGGAGGTTTTGCTGCCCAGATCCCTATTAGTCATGAGCAATGAATTGCACCAGCACATCAGCAAACTTGAATGCTTATATTTGCACACAGGGGACTATTATCTATATGAGCTCCCTGAGTGTTTTATATTAAAATTTAAATTTAAAAGCATTGACTATGGGATCATGTGACTAGCCATAGCCAAGTCCCTACCATACAAGGAACTGAACAAACTCAGCTTAACTTTCAGCACCAATGCAGCACTGCACACCAAGGGTATATAGCCCAATCAATATGTAGATCAAATTTAGGGATATAAATGCAGTTAATCTGAAATTACTTTGGGAAAATGTGGGAAAATGAGTGGGGAAAATTGAAGGGGGGGATGGGGGGGGGAATTGTGGAGGGAATTGGGGGGGGAAATTGAGGGGAGGATGAAGGGGAAAATGGGAGGAAAATGAGAGGGAACTGGGGGGTTTCTAAAAACTTGAAAAAAAGTCAGGGAAACTGAAGGAAATTTCAGAAAATGGGGGACTTTCTAAAAAAGTAAAATGTCCAAAAAATCAGGGGAAATTAGGGGAAGAATTAGAGATTTTGGGATAAGTTAGGGAGAGATATTTCAGGAAATTAGGAAAAATTAAAATCACTTTTTTGATAATTCACTGTGCATTGGAAAGTGCCAAAGTGGGGCAATGTAGCAATGTATGAAAAAGTCTCCCACCATGCTTTGGTGAGCCAAATAACTATGACTTTTTGACCATGGGTCAAAGGCTTGGATGATATCTGGAGAATACATCAGCTTTTTGTTTGCTTTATTGGGTGATATTTTCAATTTACTTCATTTGGAACACTTTTTTAAAACTGATTTATACCTTACATAACATGCATGGTTACATTGCCACACTTCAGTGCTTTCCAATTCACATAGAATCATCAAAGTTGGTTGAGTTTTGAGCAAGAAATGAGATGAAAGATAAAGTGCAGTTGAATTTCAGAGTTTTCCTCAAATTTTGTAAATAGCAATAAACAAATAAGGTGCTGATTTTAGTAAACACAAAAGGTATATGAGCTCTATGAGCCCATAGAGCCCATAGAGCTTTCAGAGCAATGACAATGGCCATTTCACACACACATGTATCCATATTATCTTTGCACTACTGGTGCAAAAATAACTATTTCATGGAGATGTGAAGACCATCCATTAACATGAGCTCCATGAGCTCAGTGAGCTCATAGAGCTTTTCAAGTAATGATGCTGGCCATTTAACATGTATTTCCAAAAATGTATATACATATTATCTTTGCATTTCTCATCCTTAGGAGAACAAAATCATTTAGATTCTTAATTTTCTTCACCCAATGTGTAGAGGGTGCACAGCAAAAAGACTCAATTTGCTCACAGAGCTCCCTATCAAGTTTGCTGATGCAGGATTGAAGAGGCATACCTGCCTGTATGTGAGCAATCCACTCTTGCACAGTCCGATGCAGGGTGCTGGAAGGTCCCACATGGTTATATGGTATGAATGTCCCAGACATGGTCCAGGTTAGCAGAGTGTCAAGCCCCTACAGTAATTCAGTCAACATTCAACAGTGCTGATCTTTGATACCATTCCTGCCAGTGCATTGGGGCCTACCAAGCATCCAGCTGGAGCAGCAGGCTCTGCAGTTTGTGAGAATGCTGCACATGAGCTGAACCCAGGGTTGACACTGTTTCATGACATCAGGACAATTATGGTAGAATTAGCTGAGCTTGCAAGGTGTTTGGGGGGTTTGTATGGAAAGTGCATATGGAAATGTGGCTTCGCCACCCCATGGGACTTCATCAGACCTAAATGCTCAGCC